ATTTGTATAATAATTACAATATTTTAATATTTATTAAATGATATTATAATAACCTTTTTAGTCATCTAAGTTGTAGAAAATGTCTTAAATATCGTTAAATTTTTTTTATTTATATTTTATTTATATTATATTACATTGTTTCCTATGAGATTACTAGACCAAGAATATTTGATATGATATTAAAATTAATATTTGACAACAGTTATTTAATATTTCTTAATTTAATAACGAACTAAAATGGCAAGAAATATATTTCCAATGGAAAAAGGAATTCTTTGAAAAGAGGTAAAAATATACGAAGTAAAGATTGCTTTGTATGTTAAATCAACAAAAAAGACTTGTTTTTTTTCGTCATCAAGTTTTAAAAGTGATTTGTAAATTACATGTTGTAACTACTTCTCACTTCTGATGAGTTATCTTAATCGCTAGTGGTATAATGCGCTTCGCAATGTCAATGCATAGTCTTGAAATAGGCAGAATAATGCCTGTACAAGAATAACATTGACTACAGTGTCATTCCACGCGCCGACGCGCGGTCGAAAAGAAAGAAATTGCATTCCAAGCCGGATGTACAAATGCAAAAGAAACTGTCGAGTCTTGGTGAATGTATGTGTTTTTTTCTCAAAAAGGAGAAAAGAAACGGGCACACAGTGTTTTTGCGAATATTATTTTGTCCTACCAACATATTCTCGTCCATTTTTTTTATAAACGATTTCCGTTTCTCATTAAATTAAGACAACGTGCTCAAACAAACGGTTAATCATTTTTTAAATATTTATTCTTGCGACATGTCCCCATTTAATAAAACGCACACGGTATCTTAATAATTAGCTCTTTGACTTTTTACATCACATTTACTTTTACATCGCCTAGGTTCAAATTCAAATAACTTTGAAGTAAATTCTGCGATCGATTAGGACAAAATTCTAATTTACACGAGCAATCTTTGCTCGTGTTTTGCTGTTGAGGCAAGAAACAAATTGTTGAGTCAGTAAAACATTGACATACACATACACATAGTGATTATTTAACTGGAGTGTCTTTAAAAATGCAATATAATTCATTTTTCCAATACACATGAAGTAATGCAAAAATGACTTCAGAAAAATTACAAAGGATTATTTACATTTCATTTACATGATATCGTGGTCTGAACATCAAAAGTTGCAAAAGTTGTGATACAATCGAATATCATTTCTTTGAATTTTATAACGAAGAGAAAATCATTTCTGCTAACATAAATGACTATTTTAATATTTATTTGCTCGCAGCGATGCTTACGTAAATACTTGAGAAATAAACAAGCTAAAATACTTAAACGTCATTAATAAACGTTTTTTGCATATAACGCCACATACGTTTCCATCGTTTCTTGCGAAAGAAAGAAACAGGTCATTTATTCCATCAATTGTAATTTATAATTTGCATGTTTTAATACGATTATACTTTGTTCTGATTCATTTAAGTTGTCAGACATTAATATTCTTTTCCATATTCTCAATATAGAGAATAATCCTTTTCTAATGAGAATACTTCTGTAACTTATTAAGGATACCGTTATCTTTCGTTGAATCCGCTGAATGATTGCTGTGAGATTTATCTCGCTTCGTAAATTACAGAAATCTGCAAGCTATTTGTAATTACACTTATGTGCGATCACGGAACTAATGTATATTCGATGTGTGCTGCTTACGATCATACGTGCGGTCACAGTACTTCTACCTCGAGTGCGGTTACAAGATCGGCATCCATCTTATGTAAAGTACAGTTTAGAGATACGCCAATGCTGGACAGTATTATCCAGCTAGTAGAGAATATAACGGGAATTATTTTCTCTTTTTCGTTTACCTATAGCTCGAGGAATTGTTGTAAAAAAATTTCTTTAAGAAAATTCTAACGACAAAAGCTTGCATTCCAAGTGTAGATTAAATAAAAATAAAAATGTTGATAGTAAATATAACGTTAGTGAAGAATAATACAAATTTTGCGCCCAATCTGGATACCGTGTCTTAAATATTAGTTCTCTCAAAAAAAAAAATTAGACGTAAGGCGACAAACTTAAATCCATTAACTTGTTAAGTTTATTGATTCATTTGAAAAAACCAAAGCTTAAAAAAGAACGTAGCAGATTTAAAATCATTCAGCGATGTATTATTATGTATTATTTAACGATAGAAATTCATCAACGACGTATGTAATTTCATTCTTGGTAATAAGGACATCGCGCCCATTCTTTGGCTAATCTTCCTCTCGAGATCACCGGATATCGGCATTCACCGTGTTTCCTATCCCCGCGAGAGGAACGGTAAGGAACGGTCAGACACGATCGCCAGGTGCGCCGCCGATTCGCCGCTCCCACCAGCTCAACTCGGCTCGGCTCGGCACGACGTTTATCCTTCTCGAAGTGGCCCATTCCTTCCTCTTCTCCTTTTTCGCTGTATTTTTCCTCCTCGCGTGGCCAGAACGTACACGCCGCGCGATAACCCGACGTGTGGAGGGAAAGTTCCTTGCGGTCTCTCTCTCTTTCTGCCTTGGTGGTACCGGACCAGTTGTGGTCAACGAGATCGTGAGATTCGATGTCGACTCGCGCTGGGTGTCGTACTGCATCGTCGGTGCATCGTCTTGTCCAATATGATTCTACATCGCGAGTGGCCGTCCCCGACATAATCTGCTCGTGCAGTGCCGCGCCAGATCGAGATACTTATCGTGCGGCGCGTCATCCTCATTCTCGTCCCCGGCGGTTGTTGCCGTTATTATCGCGGTTCACGCGAATTTTCAAGGACCAGTTTGTCCCCGGTTGCTGAGAGACGCGAACGATATGTGTATCTCTGTACGTGCGATGAGCGCAGCTTCAACGGCGGAGTTGAAATCGATGCGTGCGACGAACGATTAGTCGGACAAAGTGACTACGATACGCCTCGTTTCGCGAGCGCATCCCAGAGACAGTGGGCGTGAGGAAAACGTAAAACCCAAACATTCGATTTCTCGAAAGGATATCGGCTTGCAGCGGGCAAAGTGCGCGGAACCGCGAAATCAATTCCTCACGAGGCGTTCACGTTTAACGGAAACCCGAGTACAGGAAGCGCTCCAGTTTCGCCGTAGTCTGCAACGCGCACGACTTGGAGAAAGGCGGTTAGTGCTGATTAGACGAAAATTCCGATTGGGACCGCGCTGAACTCCCGAGACGGGAGAGCGAGCAGCTGGAGGGGTGCGCGGTGGGCGAGGTGGAGCAGCCGCGTCCGCGGCGCGTCGGTTGAGGGGAGATTTCAACGCGTGTGTAACGCGTATCCGGACTTGCCGGATATCGATTCGCGTACCCGTAAGTAGAAGTAGACATTCACGCTTCGCGCATTTTCTCTATTAGCGATGCCAGTACATAAAAATGTAAAAATCGTAAAAACGTAAAATCGTAAAATACTTGAGAACTAGTCATTTAAGATAATGTATCGTAAATGCTTGGGAATTAGTCGTTCAAGCTAAGATATTCTAATATTACAAAAATTATTCTGATTCAAATTTATTCTGATCACAAAGTGACTAGCTGTTTTCAAGGTCTAACAGATGTTTTGCAAATAATTTCCAGAACTTTATTTGTTTATTATATGCGGTGAAATTTTTTGAAGAAAAGAAGGGGAGAATAAAAATTTTAAAAAAATGATAATGCTTACATAAATTCTATGAAACTTTCTTCCTCTTGATGATACTTGTTAATTTTTTCAACATTCTTTTAAGCAGGCTAATGAAACAGCTCTGTGAAAATTTACGTATATCGTAATTTGCTATAGCGGTAAACTTGTGCTACTTAAAAGGTTTTGTAAGAGTGTTGGTTTAATTAGTAAAAAACTTTGCTCGCGTGCATGGGGAAAATAGAGATTGAAATAATAAGACGTTTCTCTATGATATCTTCACGATAATCAGAATCTTTATCTTCGATAATCACAAGAATAAAGTAAACTAAAACTAATATATTTTTGAATGTGCTGCTGAATGCAATATTCAAGTTGTAAATATAAAAAGGTATACTTTACATTATCGTTGAATAAATAAATAAATATAAAAATTTAAATTATAAATAAAATTACACACATATAAATGATTTTCGGACATGTGTTTAAGTACATCTTTAATATTGAGAAAATTTTTAACGGAAATTTTTAAGGGAATTCTTTCTTAATTCTTCATAAATTATTCATATTGAAACATTCATGAATCATTCTCTAAATTCTGCATAAAATATCACGCCAATTGAAATGTCAAGTTATTTATTATTTAAGATTAACTGCCAATTGATTTTTGCCATCGTATGAAGTATTTCAATAGTTAAGTTAAATTCCCGATTCATGTTTACTTCGTTGAAGTACGCGGCGACGTGCTAGGCGCTGCGCGCGATTCAAGTTATAAAATGCACGCAATGCATTTCATTCTGCGTAATTTGATCTACCGATCTCGTGAATAACGAATATATACACGTTCGGCGTATATGTATTTTACTAACGTCATTTGTTTTCATTTTTTTTAATAACTTATTAATTCGTTTTTAATCTGATCGGAATTGACAGTCATTATAGAAACATTTTTTTACATGTAATGACATGTTTTTCACATTGATTATCTCTTATTTCTTATTATTTTCATTTATTATGTTATCTTTGTATTCATTTATTATGTTTTCTTATTTTATATTCTCCTTATTTTATCTTTATAGTTATTATTTTATCTTTTATTTGTTATTTTTTTCAAATCGATTAACACATACTTAAATAGCCCTCTTTTTCCATATTTTCCACTAACATTGCGCAAGGCAATGTTAGTGGAATGTAGAATGAGCTTCGAGGAAGCGTTAATTGCTGCCAGTGCAATTTCAGTCGCGGTTATGATCTCGTGTTGATTTACAATTTTCTAAGAAATCCCTTATTTGTTTCAGTCGTAGAAACAGTGCAAAAAATATTATGGCATTTTTTCTGTTTAATTATTCGATATTAATGATAAATTGTATTTGAAATTACGATAACGCTCGAAATTTAGTAACATATAACATCCTGACAATTTCGAAACTTATATCTTTTTTAATATTATTAACAATAAAATTATTGCAATAATAGTGTTCAATTTTTTTTTCTTAGCTAATGTCATAATGTCACGCCGTAATTTCCGCATTCTCATAATCGCGCTTTTTATAAAAGAAAATTGAATAATCATATCTATAACTAATTGACGCGACCAAAAAATATATGTGTTATGACGTAAATATGTTATGACTATATGCTTTCCCGTGATTAAATGGTTGAAAGTCATTTACGCAACTGGTTAAGGAACGCTAATTCGTGCACAAATCTAAAAATCTCGGACAGGATCGAGAACGGAAAAAGAATCCAAGAATTTTAGAACAATGAAAAACATTTTAAATGTAATAAAGAAATATGTTAATAAAATATAAAATTATATTTTTAAAAATTAATTGTTTTTGTGGATATCAACCTTTCATTTCTTTTTTTCTCAAAGAGGATTAAAAACAATGTCTGGAAAATTAATAATCTTTCAAATAATAAATATCAATTTTTGTTGTAAAGTCATTTTTTTCCCCTTATATCATAGAGGAAATTGCTAAGCAGTTAACAGTAATTGGCTATAGCGTGATTGAACGAGATGTATTCAATGAATATCGTGTACGTCGTTCATTGCTATCCGATTGCTTATCGACTGGTACTATGTCGTCATTGGTATAATCAGATGTATGTTATTAGCACCTAAACCAATTAAATTACACTTAGGGCAACTGAAATCTTCGGGATAACGGTCCATTTAAACATGTCGGAAGGTTGTGTCAACACAGTCTCGGATGTGGGATGGACACAGGGACTTTCTCCAGGCGCTTTCTCCGGGCGCCAGTTTCGTGATCGTGGAGACACCCGCGTGTACGTCCGAATCCCGGGGATATTTATGATCATAGAAAGCCGTCCGCTTTATTTTATAATATTGCGAAACTCGCACAAGCGCTTTGCTAAGTAAACTTTTCGCAGCGCGTGTCCCGCGATTCGTCGCGAGAGACTCGCGAACGTGACCGGACTGCTCAATCTCGATATCGTGAGCGTCCAGAGATAAGAGAATCTAAATGAAGACACACACGGACTCTTCCTGGATGAAACGTTTATAAACGAATATTTGTTTTATCGATTTGTTTTATCTTTAACTCGCTGATAAGAAGGACAATTTCGTGCGAAGAAACTTTAAGCAACTACAACGCTTACAGTGAAGTACCTGTTTACAGGGAAATGCCTGCGTTGAAGCTCTTCGGTCGAAAATGGTTGGCTGCAACCGACGACCTCGTGTATCCCGGACTGTTCGAATTATTTATCCGTATTGTATGGTGAGTATTGCCGATAAACAATTAGCGAGACATCAGAATTACAGCGCGTAATATTAATCGCGAATTTGATAAATGAATTATTTGTTTTAAAATTATCATGTAAAAATCAAGCGTATTAAGATACAAATTTTAATTAAACTCAACGAAATTCTTTCTGCTCTCAATATTAAGTTCTTTCGCAAATCGTTCGGATCGTTGCTAGTTTGTTTCTCGTAATCGGCTATGTGTTTTACAGGTTGATTCTTATAGGAATCGCCTGCGTGAGGTACTACGAGAATACGTGGAATTGTCGGTTGGGAGGTGAATTAGTGCGCGTATATCTCCTCGGCGAGGCAGTCATGCTGGGTATCGTCACGCTTTTGATACTCATCATCATCAGGCATAGCGCGAGAGGAGCCATCATGGATACAGATGCTCGACGCTATGTCCAACCGCTTCTGTTGGTCAAGTAAGCAATCAAAGCAAATTAGCGTCACGCCTAATTAGCTTTCCAGGTCGATAACCATCATAAGACATTTTTTTCCGACTTCCGTCTACGTTATTTTTTAATAGCAACCAATTTGCGTAATTATTATATTTGTTGTCAATTCATCCATAGTAATAAGATAAGAATAATTAAAATTATCTTATCTTTTTTGTATTATATAGTTTTATCATTACATCTTAAATTTAAATTTTTATTTAAAATCTTGTAAATTGTAAAAAATAAATTGTAAAAATAAAATTTTTGTAGAATCTTTAAAGAATATGATTTTATTATATGTATAAATATTATATGTTAAATGTTATGTACTATAGCAAAAATAAAATTATAATTGATATCTTTTTACGAACATATAGATGCAATAATCGAATTAGTATAATATAAATGTACAAAAAATTTCTAAATAATTCCATGAAATTTAGGAAAAGAACATATATAATAATAATAATTATATATAATAATAAGAATAATAATAATTTATAATAATTATATATAATAATTAATTTACAATAATAAATAATAAAGAATAGTGTAAAAAATTTATGCTATATATAAACATTAAAAGTTATATTTAAAAAGTCAAAATATTGTATATAATGATTTTAATTTAATTGGTTTGGAATTGATTTTAATTTATGTTAGACAAAATTATAATTTTCTTGTAAGATAAATTAAGCATTAATCGAAAAAATATGTAAAATACGTAAAATATCTAAATTATAAACAGAAAAAAAGTATATATAACTATCAGTACTGTGAATAATGTATGCATATACATAATTGCACGCATATACATAAATTTCATGGAATTATTTGGATTCTCCATATATTTGCATTACTAATCGATTACTGTATCTACATATTCACAAAAAAATGTCAGTTATACTTTTGCTATATTTAACATTTATGTAACAATAGTAAAGTGATTTATTTATATCTTATTCTTAGCAGAAAATCTAGAGATTTGATAATAAAAAATTTATGAAAACCTAAAATAATAAATAATTTAGAGATCTCTCTTCTTTTTTCAGGATATTGATGCTGCTACCAGAAATCGGATGGAATATTCTGGGCACCTTGTGGATTTTTGGGCAAAGTGTGGAGTGCAATCACGAGTCGTATTCCATCACCGTTGTGGAAGCTTTGGTGTTCTTTGACTGGATCCTGATCGGTCTCAGCATTTTCGGTCTCGCTCTTGTGTTCGACCCAATCGGTTCTTTAGAAAAGAAGCAGTTAGAGAGTTCCGTGGAACACGGCAAGGTCTCGCGCATTTGGTTACGAAGATTCAAATTCCTGTGGTGGATGCGTAAGGACGAGAGCGCGCACGAGACTTTTCAACAAGTCGCTGGTGAGACATAGGTACGGCTGACCTAAAAAAGATCCTGCCGCATTCGAAACTGGAACGCCGTAGATTTCAATTGGAAATCAAGCGCGGAAGGTTACCGAAAAAAGGTGGCCAATAATAAATCAATCTTACTGATCTCTGTTCTGGTTTTGTCGGTGGGACCTTCTTCGCGACGTCGCTCTCTCGACGTTTAGAGAGAGAGAGAGAGAGAGAGAGAGAGAGAGAGAGAGAGAGAGAGAGAGAGAGAGAGAGAGAGAGAGAGAGAGAGAGAGAGAGAGAGAGAGAGAGAGAGAGAGAGAGAGAGAGAGAGAGAGAGGGGGGAAGAGAGAGAAGTAACATTTTTTTAATAATATAACTTGATAGTTGATATTATTGAATATTGATATCGATGTTTTCGTAGGTCTTTTAACTGCGTTATTCCGAGGCACAGATTTGGTTCCCTCAGATGTAATGGCAGGATGTATTTTATTAAGAGTCCGTCAAAAACGAGAAACTCATGAACTGCGAAGATTAAATCTACTCTCGCGTCCGAAATACATTTCAGGTGTGTCATTTACATACGAAAATAAATGTATATTGAAATGCAAATTTTTGTCTTCAACCATCAAATATTTATTATTTATACTTTTTTAGACGCCAATGAGATCTTTTTGGGCACACCTAGCTGGATGTCCTTGGAAGCTGCCCATCATTTCCTTCAACTATCGATCGCTTCCTATGGTTGGCTTTTCGTAATATATCAGCATACATGTACCGGCTGTTTTCGTTTAATACGCGGCGTGAAGTGCTGTGCTTGTTTCCGGTAAAAAAACATGACATAAAATCTGTAGCCAATACTATTCTTAATTTTCTTTATATAACTTTTTCGTGGAATAATTATACATTTATTATTATTTTCATTATTTTAATTATTATAATTTTTCGTTATATTTTAATTTTTTCTAGACGAAAACGCAACATTATTCTAGACGACAATTGTTGCCTCTGTTATCTTTCCGGAGTGAAATACCTATCAAAGATCTCTGAGGAAGATATTTTATTCGCTTCCTTTAAGAATCATCTTTGTGAAGTTTGTATATTATTTTTAAGCTATATATAGTTTTCCTACGTTTGTCTTGCGCATTAAATATTACTCTTTAAAATTGTATAGATACCGTTCTGCGTAATGGTGGATCACGAAACTGCCAGTATTGTTATAGTTATTCGAGGATCTTTATCATTGCGGGATTTAATCACTGATTTCGCGGCAGCATCCGATTTATTTGAATGTCCTGGCGTTCCACCAGGCAGCACAGTTAGTAGTCTTTATTATTTTTTGTTATATATATATATATATAAATCAAGTTTAATTGTTATATCTACGTCAAATTTATAGGCCCATAAAGGGATGATAATAGGAGTAAAAGTAATCTTAAAACAATTGGAGAACTATAAAGTTCTGGAAAGAGCGTTTGCCACATATCCTAATTATCAACTGACGATTACGGGTAAGAATTCCTTTCTATATTTTTTTTATTAACCATTGCATTCTTTAATGAAATAACATATGCATATAGGTCATAGTTTAGGAGCCGGTTTAGCCGTTCTGCTAGGTTTACTGATACGTACTCGTTATCCAGACTTGAAGGTTTACGCGTTTGCTACGCCTGGTAATTATTTTTATATATATTTGATTTTGTCATAGAAAACATTTATAATTTTATCAATTAAAAGAAATATTACAAATATTATTGTCAATTATAAATCTTACTGATGTATAATATTACATTGACAATTTTTATTTATCCAAAAAGCTGGGCTGCTCAGCAGAGATGCCGCCAGGGTTACGGAGGAATTTGTATTGACTATAGGACTCGGGGATGATCTTGTAATGAGACTCAGTGTGGAAAGCATAGAGAATTTAAGAATATTGTTATTAGGAACTCTTCGTGCTTGTCGACTACCTAAGGTATTTTGAAATTCACAAGCTTCAGCAAGGAATGTCTCATTCAAATGGTTAAATCGAAATGTATTTTGATAAATGGTCTTATGTTTTTAGTACAGAGTGGTCCTGAACGGATTTGGATACGCTTTGTTCGGAGTTCCCGAGAGAGATTTGACTAAAACGTGGGCCAACCATAATTTAATTAACACAATTCCTGATCAATCACCTTTGTTAACCAGATCCAGCGACATGGTAAGAAAAAATGTTGCTATTGCAAAATTTGTGGAAACATTCAACACTTAGATATCTAATACATTTGACACATGATTATTATAATTTAAACATTATTATCAATAATTTGATATGCCATTTTTCCGTAGGATAACAAAATAATAGAGCGCGATATAACGAAAAGGAGATATTCGAAAGTAAAATTATATAATGCTGGTCGTATACTTCATATAGCAAGATGCAAGCTCGAGAAAACAGAGGGAAAAAGGTTATTATTCGTTATCCTTATTATTTCTTTATTTGAATAATTAACTTTTATATAAAAAATCTAATAAAAATCTATATAAAATATCTATATAAAAAAATCTAAATTGATATACCGAAAAATAAATTTAAAATTAAATTTAATTAAATTTAATGAAAATATTTTTTTAAAAAACTAAACTTTATGAGATTTTAGAAGATAATAACGTATGATTTCTATAGCAAAAAACAACTCGCTAAGGAAAGAAAATATGAAATGCGATGGGCGCAAGCGGAGGAATTTACAAAATTAACGGTGATGCCACGTATGCTACTGGATCATTTGCCAGAAAACATAGAGAAAGCATTAGCCACGTTACTGGAACAACAGAAAGATATACCGTATTACTTTGATCCTTAGTGTAATCCAAAGAAATGATTTTATAGTTTTAATAAAAACAACTTTCGTAAAACCTCGAATTTATACAAAATTTATTTATTAACAATTAATTTTTTTGTTTCTGTTATTAAATTAAATTATCAATAAAATAAAACAATGTAATTCTATAAAAAATAAAAATATTAATTTAGAAGATTTATTAAAAATTACTTCATTCAAATTTAATTAGAAAAATTTTAAGATAAAATTTTAAATTATTGAATGTAAATCATTAATAAAAATATCAAGAAAGGAATATAATTTTTAAGAAATATTGTCATTATTTAGAAATCATTTTATTTATATATATATTTTCTTGTGTATTTTTTTATTATAGAAATAAAAAATTATCATTATAACAACGCTTCACTCAAGGAAAAATTGTTATGTTGAAATAAATGAATAAATGAATAAAATTCTTATTCACATCGTTATTAAATCACCATCAGTTATGCTTCAATAATTTAAAAATTAATTCAAAATTATGTCAAATATGCTAAATGTATATAACAAAAATATTAATGTGATTACCGTTTTGTGATGCAATGTTGTTTCGCAAATTATGATATTTCGTTACAGAAAAAAATAACGTTGTCATCAGTTCGAAAAATATCTAGATAGA